ATCAGGCGAGTGGTTAATTTTTACGGAACAAATCGTAGAATTTTCGTGGCGATTCGTACAATTTCAGTTCCGACTCACACTTTTTATTGAATTTTACTTCGCCCGCGGATTATGTTTCGAAACGTAATTTTTACGTTTTTTTCTGGTAATTTTTATTGAATTTTTCTCTCCGTGTGATCGGTTTTCTCGATTTTCTGCGACTCCTGGAATTTTGATTGGTTGTGGGGGGACGAGTATTTAGGGGAGATCATGGAAAACCTGGGGTCTAGGTATTTTCTGGTCTTTATCAAGAGGACAATGAGGAAGGAATGAAGTATTTAGGCGATTTCAGGTGTAAATTAGTCAGAGGTCGTCGGGAAATAGTCGTACAGTTGAATTCTGCAACGGTTTTTCGGTATAATCCTCTTCCTCACTCGAGTTAGTTCAGGATTCCCTGAAAATTCAGAGTAATCTGGAATTCAAGGGGAGATTCCTCCGAATTTTCCTGATTTTTCATCAATTTATTTTTTAATTATGAATTTCCTCATTGAAATTTCATAATTTAAATGCATAAAATTAAAATTATAAAAAATAATAATATCAATATTTCAATAATAAAAATATTATAATCATTATTGAAATTGAATTTAAATTAATATCAATTAATTTTTTATGTTACTGAATAGTAACATTTCCACTGAAATTTTGGGGAATTTTGTCATTGAAATTTCATAATTTAAATTGATGAATTTTCAACGACAATTCCCCAAAATTTCTGTGGAAACCTTACTATTCAGAAATATCCAGAACTACCGGAAATTCCAGCGCAGAACTTTTAACAATATAGTATACGACGAAATTTTCCGCTTCGGGATCCCCGAACCCCACCTGAAGCTCCTCGAAATTTAATTCTCTCAAAACACCAGATGGCAATAAAAATCTCATTCCCCAGATGAGATGAGGAGTTCTGGTGGTGCCCGCTGCTGTGGTCCTCCACCTCCACAAGGATAAGAGGTCTCCCGGCATTAAGTAAAACCCCCGTCTCATTCTCCGCGTATCTCCCAATGGCCCTTGGAATGGGGCATTAGGCCCCGTTTCGGTAACTCCATTCACCCCGACGAAAATAACGAAAAAATAAAAATAAACCGAAGCAAAATCGTTGAGGGAAAGGTGTAGATATAGCGGAGAAGTGCCTTCTTTTCAACCTCACGCCCCCGTCGTATCCGACACGCGCCCCACGGCGCCGCGCACTCTGGTGTGTTGGGAGCTCAAAGGCCCTGACTTTTACGATTCTGTTCGAGTGGTCGTAAAACCCAAGTTTACTGCCGTCATGATTATCGAGCAAACGGTCTGCCACCTGTCGGAGCCCCGTGAATGGCTGAGGAATCATCCATATTTGCCACTTTACCCGCCGGTTTGTGTGGATTTATTCTGATCATCGGAAGCCGATGAAGACATGATTGTTTTTTGATGATGAGGAGTGATTTAGCTAGTGAATTTATATTTATTCAAGCGAGGATATTAATTTTCGCGGGCACTGGTTCATCATTTGGTGTCATTCAAAGCGAAACAAAATTTTTGGATTCAAGATTGAAATATTTATGAGGTGGGAAAATGAATAAACAATAAAATAGTTTATTTTCAATTCTTTAGCAAGATTAGGGTCGCGAGGGTCAGGGCTATTATTTTTCATTTACATATTTATTATTATTTATATTTAAAAAATATATATTTGCCTTGTTTTCTCGCTTCACGGGTCACAAGGGTCTGGCTTTTTTCTTATTCTCGTGGTTTCAGAGTCATAAAGGTGAGACTCTCCGTTATTTTTGGGTTCCAGGGGTCACAAGCGTCTGATTTTGTCTTGTTTTTATTCTTCAATGTCATAAAGGTCAAGTTATTCTCTTAGTTTGACAATTTAAGGGTCAGATTAATTTTAATTCTTATCCTTCAAGGGTCGCGAAGGTCAGAAAGGTCTGATCTTTTCTTGTTTTCATGATTCAAGGGTCACAAAAGTCTGATCATTTCATGCTTTCATGTTTTAAGGGCGACGAAGGTCAAGCAGTTTTCTCAGTTTTGCGGTTTAAGGGTCAGATTAATTTTTATTTTAGCGTTTCAACAATCACGAAGGTCAACCTTTTTTCATTTTTGCGCTCCAATTCTCATCTTGCGGTTTGAAAAGTCACGAGGGTCAGATATTTATTTTTGTTTCTGTGGTTTAAAGATCAAAAAGGTCTGATCTTTTCTTGTTTTCGCGCTCCAATTTTCATGAGGGCCAACTTTTACTTTTAGTTTCGCATTCTAAGGTTCACAAAACCTGTTTCTCCCGCGTCAACTCTCAATCGAAATATGCCAACTGTCATTAATACCGGAATAACAAAATATTCCACCATGAAGAGGAGTAAACACAGAGTAACCGACCGGGAACCCAGAAACTCCGGGTCACAGCTTATGACGAGCATTACCCGCCTCGTTACGGTATAATTTACGAGGTGCGAACGGCCGGGGGTAATAATCCACCGACATTTACATCCCAATGAACAGTCCGATACCGCGGGCCGCATGCCACCCGTTCCCTCTCCATTCACTCAGTGCCATTTCATTCTTTTAACAACATTTTAATTGTACGACCGTCTGAAACGACCCATAAACCATAAAGGGCCTCGTAAAAGGCCACTCAACAGTGCCCCGTGTCCAACAATCTATGACAAAGTCGAGATTACGCCTCTCTAAAATAATCTTCTCGAACACAGAAAAAGAAAAAAAATCAAACCAAAAAAAAAAGCAAAAAGAGGACGAAACGGGGACATAAAAATAAACATTTAAACACGTGATTTTGGAGATTCGTTAAAACGCGGTGGCTTTTAAATGTGGGTATTCTCAGCGCGTATATAAAAGAACCGTCAAGTCACTCGACACGACTTGGATGGCCCAATAATCGTTTGAAACGGCGCTGGGTTACGCCGATGCTGGCAGTTTGAACGTCCGAATGGGTATGCTAGATTTAGTTAACGAATTGTTTCACAGGTGGCGCACAAGGAGCATGAGAATAAGCCGCGGCGGCGGCGAGCGGGAACCACGCGTGGTCCGTGGTATGCGACGCATACGCCAGAGCATCGTGGTTACTCTACCAATTTTATTGTAGTGGGGGTAAAGGGGGGCGGTGCTTGAGCTGAATATGGGCGTCATTTCGGCGCGGAACTACTTTCTCAACGCGTAGTGAAATCGCGAGGTACTCGTGACGAATTCAATTCTGATTGGTCCTTAAGCATAACCTCCCCCCCTTGGCACCCTGTTACCTTCTTCGCGTCCCCCCTTGACTGTTATCTGCGCGTTTTACTCTTTCGCTACTATTGCGGACTCCCTCGGTGGCACGGGGGGTCCCTCGGACCCTCTCGTTTGCTCGCAGGGGGGGCGGCTGGGTAGTTTTAACGCTTCGTCCCTTTCATTTTGCAGTCGTCCTCGTCGCACATTTCAGCCCAAGTCAGCAGGTATGTTTTCTCTCGTTTACGAAAGGCAACCTTAACATCTACCCTCTCACTCCCACCGTCTTATCTCGGTAGGCATAGCCTACTCAATGCACGGCGCGCGGCCGTACGAATTTAATCCAGCCGGCACGTTGGCTTGAGTTACTGGAGCGCTCGACAGGGGGCAGCCAGGGTGGGCCGAAGTGTGTGAGCGAAAAGACCCGGTGGTGGGACGGTTTTCGTTGGTGAGAGGGTGGGAGTAAGTGAGAGGGGGATATCAGTGGGGAGAAGAATCGGTGAGAGAGAAACAGAGGAAAACTTCGGGGGGTTATCGTGGCGCTCTTGGAGTGGGGTGAGCACGTGAGAAACGAGGACGGACAGTACTCGTGCGCCTCTCGTTCGCACACGAGAGAGTCCCGGAGAGGCTTCCCCCCTCGTGGCTGTTCCACTCGCTCGCTGCTCTCTCTCCCTCGCGCGTCGACTGAGTTGGAACGATTGAAGAGAGTCGGTGTACAACCGCGGGTGGAAGCAGGAGCGTATTCAGTGTGAGCGAGAGAGGATACGAGCCGAGTTGAGGTTGGTGGTGAGCAAGAGACGAACGACGGGTACAGAGTGGCGGTACACGGGGCGCGAGAAAAGCCAGTAGTGTGCCGTGGACCACCGCACTGGCATACCGTGGTTCGTTACGATACCCTTCGTACACCCTTTTGGCCCCCAAAGTATACATTCAATCCCGTCATCGGGCGGTTACCGACAAATTTTTCAGTTTTTCGTCAGGAGTGATCAGTGATCAGTGAACATCCTAGACCAAGTCAACATTGTAGACCAAGTTTTCTCTGAGTTGCTGGCCATTGGCTAGATTTTTTTATCCCTTTTATTTTGTGATTGACATATATCATTTGGATTATTTTGGTACGTCAGTTTTATCTCTTGCGGTTTTTGTTTTCACCCTGATATTCGCAACTCCATACCGGCCAGTTCTCCAGGTAGACTGGAGCTGGAGTCGCGTGCCGGATTGCGCGGGACAGCCCAAGGTGGCATTTTATAGCCCGGTCTTATTGCCCGATTTTATAGCGTCGTAACGGGCTGTTAGCGATCATCATTCAGTCGGCCGTGTTTTATACGACATTGGTCTTCTTAGTATAGACTTGGATCATTGAAAATAAGGGACATTAAAAGCACGTTTAGCGTGGTGAAACATCCTTGTACGTGTCATGTTTATATGGACTATTGACAACTTGGGATAATCCTCGATTTTATCATCCACTCACCGGCCGCCAATGACTTTAACGACTTTTGCGGCCGGTTTGACGTTTCATCTTATCACGTACTCATTACCAGTGTCTCGCTATTTTCAGTGGCAATCAGCGTTTGAGTACCTGTCGTGAAATCGTTTAACCTGTCGTTTGAATATTTGAAGAATTTTAAGTGAAACACTCGTGGACAATTGTGTATTAAAACTCTGCAATAACCCATCCGGAAGCCAGCCTTCCCCATAGATAAAAAATAATTAAGTGGTGATTGTGTTGAGCAAGTGTCTTCAAGATACCCGGAATAATGAACTCATACTTCGAGCAGGGAGCGGGTGGCTTCTACGGAAGCCACCATCATCAGACTGGAGCAGCAGGACAGCATCATGATCCAGCGACAGCAGCTGCTTATAGAAGCTTTCCCCTTGGTCTTGGCATGTCACCTTACGCCTCGAGTCAGCATCACCATCACAGCACAAGTAGCCTGGGAATTCATCCAGGAAGTGGTACCAATACCCGACCACCCCAGGATTCCCCTTACGACGCCAGTGTAGCAACCGCCTGTAAATTGTACTCATCAACCCCAGAAGCAACCGGCCACACAACATCATCGTACTCAAGTACAGCGAGCAAAGACTGCAAGCAACAAGAGCAAGCAGTAGCAGCTGCTGCGGCTGCCCACCAGAATGGTTATGCTGCAGTTATGGCTGCTGCAGCTGTCAAGGACGTTTGGCAGTCGGCGACCTCAGCCGCCAATGGCCAGAGTAATCCTGTTGTACGTCCGTCCGCGTGTACCCCCGAGGGCACGAGGGTCGGCAGCTACGGCGGTCTCGTGGGCGGTGATCCAGCCTCAAGTCCCGGCAACAACGGCTCCTCCAGGTCCCTAACGTCATCGTGGAACACCTGCAGTCTCAACTCTACCGCTAGCCAACCGGTCGCCACTCAACTACACCAACAACCAACCGGCAACCATACATTCTACCCCTGGATGGCCATAGCAGGTAAGGCTTTTGCATTCACAAGACGAAGCGTGTGCCCGGCGTTTACGTGTGTTTTGTATTATACACCGAGGGGGGGCGCACAACCGATTATCATAACAGCCGAGATGAATTATTACCGTAGAGAGAGAGGCAACTGTGCCACGGGGCACAGCAAACCAATATACACGACACCACGTGGTCAAATGTCTTTGGAATTTTTCACTCGAGATTAAAATATATGACTAATTCTAGTCGTAGGAGGGTTGCACGTCAATTGGTGATGGTCTCACGACCTCCGTAAATGGTCATCAATAAGGCTTGTCACTATCTTTCTATTCTTCGCTTCTAGTCCAATTTATTTGGTCGTGCAAATGTTGAAGCCGGATGGAGGATTATTTATAGATCTATGGAAGTATGATGCATTCATCAAAAATTGAAGCAGGGAATTTATATTCCCGTTGGACGTGGATATATTTTCCATGACAATAACTTTGTTCACGATGGCTCGGTTAAAAGAGCTATGACTAATAAAGTTAACCCGTTGACACGTTCATCGACCCATGAAAATATCTCTCGTAACTTTTCGCCAGGATTCTTTGGAGTGGGAAGGATCAGTTCCGATGGTTATGAGTGAATTCACGTGATAGCGAAATAATAAGTCTATAATAAAGAACACGCCTCTTGGTACAGCCATAAACTTAACGTCTTCCTCTATTCTGGCTCATACCTGTTGTAAACCCGGGGGTTTCGCTAGTTTGGAAAGGCCCGGGGCTGGAGTTACCAATGGGTGCGAGAGAGAGAGAACGAGTGCCTATAAATGACTGGGGCGACAGAATGGAGTCAAGTGCGTGTAAAATCGTCCTGGGTAACACGAAGATATAATGGGGAGATCCCCGAGGTTCTGGGGGGGCTTGAGTGCACACACACACTCGCCCCTCCGGAACCCAAATTCCGGTAGTCAGCTGTTTCCATCGGTCCCTTTCGTACTTCCATCCTCTTTCTTCTTAATTCATGGTGTGAGTGGGTACATGTGAGCTTTCGTCCATATGTGATGGGTTCGCTCAGCTGGTGGAGTCACAGCACCAACCAGAAGTTGGTTCTGAGAAGCTTACAGGAGGGATGGCTGAAAGTTTTTGAAAATGGCAGGCTAATCTCAAACTAAATCGCTCCGAGTGAAAACACTTGGAGACATCTTTTTCTTAGCTTGGGAAAGCCCCGTTACTTTGATCTTTGTTACAACCAAGTCATTGAAAATGACAGGTCAATGTGAAACTCAATCATTCAGAAAGAAAATAGGAAGGAAAGTCGTTCCTGTCAACCTTTCTTGACTCGTCAAACTTTAATTTGCTCTTACAACCAAACACTTGCTGTTGAAATTTAAGCTATAATGAAGTTAACGAAGGATTATGGCCTCTTGGCCTCTTACTATTGATCCTCATTACTAACTTAATGATCACACTTGAGAAGTTCTTCGAAGTTCAGTGGATAAAACTAGAACATTTCGATGTAAAAGGCTTAGGAGAATCATGCTCCTACCTTAGAAAATACGTGTTTGCTAAGATCTGGTTTGCTGCGATGACTAAAAATTCGTTTCTGTCGATCTTTCTCAACCCGTTGAACTTTGATTTGCTGTTACAACCAAACACTTGATGTTTAAATCCAAGCGGGAGGCTGACGGCTTCTAGCCATTGAGAATGTCAGTCCAATCGGAGCCTAAATCATGTCGAAATGAAACATTCAGTGACCACAGGAATCTGGTATTAGGTAATGAAGTGAAAAAAAGAACCCCCAAGCAGACGATCGAGTTTGCTAAACTGGTTTGGAATGCACTTACCCAGATTGCTCATAGTCACTGACTCATTTCACCTTTTCTCATCCCACTTCCATCATATCTCTGAATGTTTTGTACGGATTATTACCGTCATCCAGTCATTCCTGTAACAGCAAATTGCTGCAGAAGCTATCGTTTAATGATACTCCCGGTTTATAACCAGTAAAATCTCCGATAGGATGTTTACTGCCCATAACCTAGGGCGCGTTAAACAGCGTGTGAGCTTTGGAATCGTGTGAAGTATTATCTCACACATGTGTTACAACTACAATCGAAAGTTGTAACAGTGCTGTGCATAATGCCAAGGCTGTGGTTTTCTGATTTTACGAAACGCTTCACTGATTTAGCCGCCGCGAATCGAATCAAAATCTAATCGGGAGGTCTAAAAATATTTTCAAGTCATAAGCAAACTCTTTCGCACTTCAAAAATAACAGCTTTCTTGTCTTGTCTCGTAATTTGGAGGAAGTTTTCTTGTCTCCTAATCTAAGAGAGATAGCGACATTTTCGTAATGACCTTTTTTGTAGCTCTTAAGTCGCTCTACAAAAAAGGTTTCAAGGAAAATTTGCTATCTACCTTAGATTCGGAGATATTCATTTACAAATGACCAAAAGTTCTCTTACGTTGTCTCTTGTGATGATTCTGTTGGCTTGTCTTGTTTCTCTTCCTCTCTTGCGGCATGACTACCTAAATTGAATTTTCGCTGTCGAATATTCCGCTGGTTTTAGCTTCATGCGGAAATACGTGCTCTGGTTACGGAATCACTTATTTTGACACTCGTGATTCCGCCTCAAGTAATTGTCTCTCAGTGTCAAGGTTGAGGTAGGATTTCGTCGATTAATGGGCCGATTTTGCCTAGGTCGGTGCAAAGTTTCTGGGGTAATTTCAGATTTAAGGAATTTTCGTCATAGCACCCCTGCTGAGGAGAACCACAATGCTTTCTCCGTGAACGTTTTAGATCACTTTCACCAACTTTCCAGATGCGCCTCGGGTATAAGGGTATTTATGGGCTCATTGAGGGGTTGGCCGTGTCTATAGGGTAATTAGAGGGCGCGTGAGAACAGTGGGTTGGGGGCACATTTCTTCGTTGCGCTATCTTAGACACCCGCTGATTTCTTTTTTCGTCGTTTTCTCGGAAGAATGGAGGGAATATGAGTGTGGGAGAAAAATGAATATACATGGCCCGTTTTACGTTGCGAGATGTACCTTTTTAAAAATACATTAACAAGTGGGTGTAATAAAATGCGACCGATGTCCCATTTCGTTCAACTTTCCCATGGTACAAAGTATTTATTTGACTATTGGTCAGTTTTCAGTGAATATCTCGGAATCTAAGATAGATAGCAAAATTTTTGTGTCAACCTTTTTCATAGCCAAAACCAAGCCCTACAAAAAAGGTCATTACGAAAATTTCGCTATCTCCCGTAGTTTTCAAGTTGCTCTGAAGTTAGTGTTGTTGTTTTATCATTACTTTTTTCTCGTTCTGTAGGATCGAAAATGAAGTTTTCGCTCCGTCGGTAAGTGTCGTAAATCATATTATCGATTGACAGCTATTGAACTTCAGGAAGATAAAAATTCAAGCGATTGGTTTTTTTCTTTGGACGTCGCCAATCAAATATCATCATTAATCAATTTCAATATACCTACATTAATTCATTTTATACACAAACAATCGACGGAAAGTAGTACGCGAATCATTTCCCGCGCAAAATCCACGTGGTTTCATCTCCTCAATGTAAGCATATCACGCTTCTCTCACCCACCACTTTGCAGTAGGTGTTACGTACCTCGGGGAGTAACCTCGTTCAATATAAACCAGCAAGGAACAGCACTGTAATCGTAACACTGACGTTTACGACGACGAAATCGCGGCTCGGGTCGTTTACGCGCCCCCTCCCGCCTTCCCCCCTCTCCCATCGCCCGAAATGGCATACTCCGAGTGCCAGTGGAACGGGCTGTCGGTAATGCAGACAATCTCCACGAGGATTTTACCAACTCGACAGAGGGCGACGTCTTTGGGATATCGGCACTGAGCTCACCCTACGACCACTTACGTAAACTTTTATGGGCGAATCTTCTCCGTTCCCGCAACCCGGTCTTCCGAGGCGGATCATGCGGGTGAAGAAATTGAATGTTATTTTATTTATCATTTAAAAAATTATATAGTTATGGGATAGATGAATGAACATGACACGATGAGTAATTTTTTTCCAAGAGTGTTGAGTGGAACAGATAAATTGGATTTTTCTTTCTCGTTATCTGCTCTCGGACAAAGAGTGTTTTGGTCGGACCGCCGGCATAAACAAAACGTCTCGCAGCTAATGTCGGTCAGTTTATGCCGGGGTGAGCGCGCGAAGTGACTTCTCAGTGCAACTTCTCTATTTATTTTGTGGTGTGATTAAGAGTTTTATGAGTATTGGAGACTTTTCTGGGAGAAATCGAGGAAAAAATTTAGTTAGTTTTCCCAGTGGAAGGTAGGCAGTATTTTTTTTCTTTATTATGCTATTGACGTTTATTAATTACTTCAAAGCAACAGGGCTGATTAATTGCTGCTCAGAGCTGTCAATTTAATTTAAGTTAATTTAATAAATTGGGCCGATGTCAGAGGCAATTAATTTATTTATACTGTGACCTTCGGTTTTATGCGAAACAAACGACTCCTTGTGCATTTCGTTGTCATACATTAAACGTAAAGCCGGTAGCGCACGGAAAGATACGTGCGGACCCCGTGCAATCGCTCTCGTTTATCTAAATTGCGTGCTTACGAAAAAATTATCAATGTTCGACGGAAGGAATGCGTCAGGGAATAATGAGTTTGAAAGAAAAAAATATTCCTCTTGTCTTGCTGCGCCGTCAATGTTTACTATCTCGTATGATACATTTTTTTTCCACTACCGGGTGCAGTTGGCAATAATAGTTTGATGGCGAGTCGCTGAAGAACGGGGAAAACATTTTTCTACTGCATATTTGTTATCGGGGACGGGGGGTCACCTGAGGAGACTTTACGCGGTTAGAAAATTTTACGACATTGTAACATTGCCATATATAAGGTTTTGACCCTCGTGACCCTTGAAATAATTTTTTAAGCCCCTTAAAAACGGAGCAAAATTTTTTCGCATTTTCAAAAGCTGTCATCTCAAATAAAATCATAACTAGGGTTAATATCTCCGAATCTAAGAGAGATAGCGAAG